TTTTTATCTGTAAGAATGGATAGTCTGTAGCCAGTGGTAAGACTGCCTGTTCTCCTGGTGGTCTGATACCTTTTTTTAAAATAATAGTAATAATACCAATACGTGACACCATATTATTTCTACCCTTTTCCTTCTGCTCTTCAGAAAAAAACAGAGCAGTGTATAGGTAGTTAATGAAAAATATAACCCATGTCTGAAGATTTCCAGTTTAAGGATACGGTTAGAGAAGGAAAGAAGGGTGGGGAGGGAAGAGGAAAAAAGCAAGGTTGGGGAACAGTGCTATTATTTCTACCCTTTTCCTTCTGCTCTTCAGAAAAAAACAGAGCAGTGTATAGGCAGTTAATGAAAAATATAACCCATGTCTGAAGATTTCCAGTTTAAGGATACGGTTAGAGAAGGAAAGAAGGGTGGGGAGGGAAGAGGAAAAAAGCAAGGTTGGGGAACAGTGCTATTATTTCTACCCTTTTCCTTCTGCTCTTCAGAAAAAAACAGAGCAGTGTATAGGTAGTTAATGAAAAATATAACCCATGTCTGAAGATTTCCAGTTTAAGGATACGGTTAGAGAAGGAAAGAAGGGTGGGGAGGGAAGAGGAAAAAAGCAAGGTTGGGGAACAGTGCTTATGGTTAAATATATCTGAAATGTTGACTAGCCCCATTTGTATAATGTGTGACGTTGTTTAACCTGGTTGGGCTGGCATGATTTTGAAGAAAGCTTTTTTTTTTAAAAAAAAGGTCAGTGTTAAGTTGGTTTTATTACAATTTTATTAACCATGTGTTATTTTGATTGAATTGGAATTTTATGAGAAGGTGTATGAGAAGTCACCCTAAGGCAGGGAGTAAATTATTTATGCATCAAGATGTCACTTTTTCTCAGGACAGTTGACACAGCAGGAAATAATGTGTTCTGTGGTCCATGGCTTTCTCACCATTCCTTTGCTACCATCCTTTGATGGTCTCCTTTTGGGAAGTAGGGTGGGGAAATATTTGATTCAGAAGATGATATTCATACTCAATCCACCAAACAACCTTTTACTGCTACCCCTTGCTTTTGCTAACTCATTCCCAACCAGGCCTTCTAAACTTTAGGGCAGTTGTTGAGTGCAAAGCCAGACTTGAATTCATGTCCCATGCTTCTAACTTATTTAACCGCTCTTTTTAATTCTAGGAGACCCTTTCTGAAATGCGTACTGAATCTCTGAAGCTTCCTCTGAAGCAGAGGATTTCTCGCATCTCTATTCATCTGGCCGCATGGTTTCTCTCGTTGGGCTCTGCGGTGGCTTCGTGTGCTGGCATTTATTTCTTTTGCCTTATTAATTTAGAGGTTAGGTGCGATTATTTTATTCCCTGGCACCTTCTTTGCTTTTTCATACCTGTATTAAATAATGAACAAATATGTAATGTCCCTGGGAGTGGGTTTTAAACATGACTGCATGCTCTCAACAGTGTGTTGAGCTTGGATAGAAGGACTGACTCCCCAGGACAATATACAGTGGTACCTCTACTTACGAACTTAATCCGTTCCGTGACTCTGATCGCAAGTCGAGTTGGTCGCAAGT